ATCGGTCTGGGTGGGGTATGGCTCAGTCAGTGTGGAGACTGGATCGGTCTGGGTGGGGTATGGCTCAGTCAGTGTGGAGATAGGATCGGACTGATTGTGGTATAGCTAGGCTGGCTTGGACTGGTTAGGGGAGTGGGCCAGCCAGTGTGGCGATTGGTCAGCCTGGGTGAGGGAATGGGTCAGTCTGACTTGTCATGTTCTCTATAGTTAATTACTCACTGTAACTAAATATCTGGGTGAGATGCTGATGGATTGTTATGGCCTGTGGAACTTGTATCCACATAAACCATCAAGAATGATTCCATAGACTTAGCCTGTACTTCTTTGTTTTGAGAAAGTTGAAGGGTAATTTGGTTAAAATTTTGAAAACGATCAAGGATTTGAAAGGATTAATCGGGAGAAACTATTTCCTGTGGTAGAGGAACCCAAAACAAGGGGACATAATTTTAGCAATAGAGTGGGATCTTTCAGGAGTGAAATTAGGAAGCAGGTCTTCACACGAAAGGTAGCAAAAGGTTAGACCCCTATCCCCCAAAAGACTGTAGATGCACAGGAATCAACTGGGCTTTTAAAACTGAGATCAGCAAATTTTTTTTTGTTTGTTAAGGGTATCAGGGTATTGGGAGCAAAGTTGAGCAAAAAAAATTTGTTATAGATCATCTATGATATAATAGAAATGGTGGAACAGGCTAAAAGAGGTGAGTGTCCCATTGCTGTTCCTCTGAGGGGACAAGTACCACCAAGTTGTGGTACCTATTGGCTCAGAAGGCTCTTCACTGTCTGACAAGCTTTGTTTCTCCTATAGGTGGTGGGAATGTCCGTCCTGGAGACTGACTCCTCGTTTGACAATACCAACTGCTGACTCCTCACAGCCACTTCCCACACACACAGAAGGAATTTCTCAGTCACCGTTGACAGTGATCATGAATCAGCAACAAATTCCTCATAACTTTGAAGAGCACGTAACGGATTGCAGCTTCAGCACAGCCATACCTCTTCACAGTCTAAGTGTGTGCACTCAAAATTCTCAGCGCTTAGAAACAGCAATGAAAATCAAGTAGCTAAACAAAAATAAAGGGGCAAACACGCTTCTGACTAGAAGCATCTCTTCCAAGTAGACATACACAGGCTTTGTCATGATTACTGTATTAATATATATATATATTCACATATATATTTATGTATTCATATAAGACATTTCCTGGGACCTAGATAATCTGTTGGAGACACTTCCTTCCAACCTTCCCTCACCCCCTTATTATTAATGCAGTTAATATTACATCCTACTCCTCCAAAGAAGTACATTTTTGGGAAAGGGGCAAGTACATTGTGCCAAATAGTTCTTACCCATTCCTAGCAAATACATTCAAATGCCTTTTGAAACAATGACAAATGGCTTGCTCCCAGTGCTTGTTCTGCCAAACTATTCTATACGTTACTGTCTGAGGTGAAGTAGATTTGCCTAACTCTCCCTCTCATTTTCTATTCTCAACCCTAGAGTTTTTTTTTCATTTAAATATGACTGTAGACTACATCAAGATCTTTTCTTGTTAGCCGGTACCCAACTGACATTACATTGAGTTTCGATCCATGGTATTTACAAAGATGAAATATAATGGGTAAGGAAGCAAAGGTTTTTGAGTTGCCTGCACTAATGCATCACCAATGTTTCAATGTTATATTTAAGCCAAAATGGGGTAGTGGGAGGGATGAACTCTGGATGAAGCAGTATTTGCGCACTTAGCTCTTCTGCCTGTTTAAAATAGCTCTGTATAAAATGGGTTTCAGCGGTGTACAAGTAAGCCCCAATGCACCAAACTGCTCCAAGTTGGCAATATCTCTCAGATAGGCCCAGAAGGTCTGGTCAGTGTCAGAAATGAAAATGTTTTAATCTGCATTAAGCCTAGATGGGGTCATAACTTGATCCTAATACTATGATCCATCAGTTAATATCGAAGTCTCACATCCTGATTATCAAAAGAAAAGTCTATTATTGTATTGATTTAACTTTGTCTTTGTGGAATGACATATTTCTCAGGAGGGTCAGTTAGCTGGAGAGCTAATTTGCAATTCAGAATAACACTAACAGTGTTGGTTCGATTTCTGCAATAGCTGAGGTTATCATGAAGGATTCTCCTTCCCAACCTCTCAGAGGTTAAACCACCACTAGTTATTTCTCTCTAATGAGACAACAGTTCTATGGTCTGGTCGGACTCTGGTGATTTTCCCCTTTTTTACTTCTTGGATAGCTTGGTGGGGAATTGAAGATTACTGCAACTGTGCATTGCAAACCAGGATTTGCAACATTCACCCATCAAACTAACCAAAAACCTCAAACCATATCAAAATTTGCTACTCCAAGCGACCAACTATGAAGTTCTCAATTGTCCAGCCACACCTCCGTCCAGTTTACACAGGCTAATTCTTGACACTCAGTACTCCAACTGAATTTTATAAGGTGAGGAAACTCTGGCCACTTTCCCAAAATTATGCTAAAAGATTTTATGATTCCAGGGTGGCCAGAACTGTCAGTCTGTCCTATTCAGAGAGAGAGACAGCGACCATTGAATGCATGTCTTTGAAAGAGATCACACAAAGGGAGTTAACAGAACATCGTGGTCAATAGTGTAAACAGCTTGAAGTCCCAGTACCCCACTGCATAATTCTAATGTACCTGCAGATGTATAACTTCATGAATTAATTTTATCAATTTAGTTAACATATTCAATTGTGAACTCACCTTTAGCTTTCCATCTTTAAAGAAAATTCAATGACAGTGAGCATTGTGCGTTGGGTGCCCACTGCATTTCTAAGCAATGCACTGTATGTACAACCTATGGTCTTTGGCCCCCTCCCAGTACTCCAGCCTTCATAGCTCAGGCATCATGCTGTATTTATATTTCTTACTGGATGATACCATCTGTATGCTTGGGAAATCTGCCTCATTGTGGATGGATCCTATTTCAAAGCATTGAGATCAGTTATTATCAGCAACATCTCATAACTTCAGATCAACAGGAATAGAGATTTAAACAACTAATGCTGAAGGGTTGATGTACATGACTACAAGATCAACAAAGACCATTCTGGCCATTCTTTAGGTCCAGCTAATTACATGCAGCATTATATCAGTTGTCATATCACTAACAGACTCTCATTTATGGATATTAGGTGCCCCTTTTCATATTGTGCCATTGTCTGCTGAACTTCAATCTGATGGATCCTGCACCCAGGAAAATTTACATAAAGTCAAAGACAAACATCATCATAGAACAATAGAAAACCAGGAAATGTCTCCAAGTTGTTGCTGTGTCTTCAAAGTGAATAGAAAATTATGCCATCCTAAAGATATAGCAGCAGATCCCAAACCCATGACCACAACTTAGACAAATAAGGGCAGCAAAAATAAGTGAACACCACCACTGCATGCTGTCTTGGAACTGTATCACCATTATTCACTGGTGCTGGGTTAAACTTCAGCAGTCCAGCTGGACCAACACCACATGGACCACAGTGGTTCAAGGTGGCTCATCACTACCTTTCAAGAGCAATGAAGGAAGGATGATGAATGTTAGCTATTCCATTGATATTCACACCCAAGAACGAAAATAAAATATTGCAACAGTGGAATCGAATGAACAGCCAGTGCACTACTGAGAGATGAAAACACTGAACACCAGTACAACACCTACAAATCCTACATTATAATATAAAAATTGATTAACCCTGTCCTGGGCATCTCTAAAATTGCTTACCCTCTTGAGTAGCTCATAAGCATCCTGGAAGAACAACATCCAGATGGTTTTGAGATGAAAATTCATTAGCACACTGCCTTTAACTAGCTCACCGCCCCTCTGCAGTCACAATACAATTTAGAAAGTTTGCAATTATCTTTTTTAAAAAAGAAACCCTTGTTGGTGAGGGAAGTACCGTGGAGAAGTACAGCGATTTTCATCTCAAGGTGTGTCACATTGTTGCAGGGTTTGCTGTAATATTTTATCTTCATGCTGTATATAAAACGTTAGTAGAACCTTAGTGCAGGTCACTCTTAACATGGCCCAAGAGAGATTATGGGCCTTAAAAGGATGTCTCGGGAATAATTTCTGCTGCCAAGCTGATATTCTCATCTCCAGTAAGTGTGAATTGCTGAGCAACTCTTCTGCACTTTACTTGCTGCAAGTCTATCAATAAAAACATATTTTTCATATCACTTGGAAGGAAGCCTTGTCATGCTTTATTTATCAATAGTTTCCTCCCATGCTTTTGAAAGAGTTAAGTCCCACTGAGACTGGTATACTAGCAAGTGACTGACAATTCTTTATGAGATGAGAAGCCAGTTTTAGTTACATAGTTGACCAACTTGGTGGGTGGGTGGAGAAGAGAAAGGAATGTCACAATCCAATCTTCACCACAATGTTGCTCACAAAATCTTGCAATGGTTAATGACCAACAGCTACTTTGACCTTATCCTTCATCTCGGGATAACAGAGCCAAATGTGACCAACAAACTGTTGACTGGCTCTGACGAATTACCTCACTATAGATGATTTATATGTTTCCATTACCAAACAATTGGTTGAGGTGGCATTGGGATAGATGAATGCAACAGGTTTAGTTCAGATGTAAATGAAGGTCTAGTTTTGACCATTTCCAATCTACATTTTGTCCAAAGGAAGTAGAAATTAAGCAGCCCACAGCTCAGCCACTTGAATAGGCTGATGGATCCTGACTGGCCACAAAGCATGTCCCAAACCATTGTTGATATTTCAGCCTAAATAAATTAGAAGTCTTGTTTCGTTGCATGTTTGGTATCACAGTTGCTTTCTGTTCTCATGACTTTGCCACATGTAGCCATGCACAGGATCATTTTGTGACATTACAAATCAAGAGTACAGCTTGCCTATGAATATGATGGGTCAAAAATAATCTGCTGGTCATTCAACACTAACCCACACACAGTGGTGCCTGAAGCATCCTGACTAAGAACTAGGTATACCGTAATTGCTTATCTCGGGCAAAAAAAAAAACTCAACATAACCAAGCCAATAAGGTAAAGATACTCTGGACAAGGCTTTTCAACACACCACCTGCCAACAGTGGACATCATGTTAGGAGGTCACATGATCAAGTCTGTCCTAGATAGACTCTAGCCTTCTCTAAAATTCCAATCTCTGCTTGTGTCAGGAACCAGTCTAGCTTCCTGCTGAAAATGAAGTAGATACCGCCCACCACAGCAGCCAGGGAACATTTCAGAAGCTCACTGCTTTTTGGGAATAGGTGATCTGCCCAATATTCTATCTATTCTTCCTAATGTACATATGAAACTCCTCAATTTGTTAATCAGAATAATCTACCAAGCTTACTCTGAATTGGTTGTGTCCACCCATGTGACCATTGGGGAGTTTAAACCCATGTGACCTCTTGTGCTCCTAGCAGTTACTCCTGTATCCATATTGAGTCAGAAACTGCAACAATATTATTTATTTTTAAATCTATTCTTACTAATTTAGATATCAGGCTGTCCCACTGCATACCAACCTGCAATCCGTCTTTCAGATTTCATTCTGATTCAGACCCTGGTCCCCAGCCTCATTACAAATAGCACTAACTCCACCAGAAAGACACTGTAATGTATTTTACTGGGCCAAAAATGCACAATCTAGTCAGAAGGAATATGGTTAAAAGTTCCATCACCTGGAACCAATAACACTAAAGATGAAAACAACACAAAACCTTGCCAGTAAATTTATGCAACATAGAAGATTTGTATCATGTGCTCAAACTCTTCATTGTCCTTCAAGTAAAGCATTGCCTCATCTTTGAATGAAAAAAACTCCTCCATCTCAGCGTTTGACACTGCTAAAGCTAATACACAAAAAAAGGACCAACAGTAGGTAATTCCATCCCGTGAGGCTGATCTGCCATTCAACAAGACCATGGCTGATCTGACTGCAGCCTTTTCTGATACCCCACTTATGACCCGTGACTCTCTTGTGGTTCAATCCTCCTTCTAACTGAGCCTTGGATATATTCAATGACTGAACCTCTAATGCCCCTTGGGGTAGGAGAATTCCATGGATTAACTAAACTCAGAGAAGAAATTCTTCTTCATGTCTGTTTTAAATGGGAGACCTCTTACTTTGAAACAATGGTCCCTAGTTCTAGTGCCCTTTACCAGGGAAAATATCCTCTTAGAAGATTACGTGTTTCAATCAGATTATCTCTCATTCTTCTCATCTCCAATGAATATAGACCTAACTGGCGCAACCTTTTCTCATAAAACAACCTTGTGAATGTTTTCTTCACTATATATAATGCAAACGTGTCTCCTGTTAAATAAGGAGATGGCATAATCATCACCATCAAGTTGTAACAAGAATTATATACTTTTATATTCCATCCTCCTTGCAATAAAGCCCAAAATCCCAATTGCCTTTCCAATTTCTTGTTGTACTTACATATTAACATTTTGTGATTCATGTCCAAAGGCACCTGGATCCCTCTGTACTGCAGTCTTGTTCAAGTCAAAAATTTTCTATCTTTCAATTTGTGCTGCTCAAGCGGCTAACTTCATGTTTTTTTCCCTCATATGATGCAGTGGTAAGTAGTAGCAGAACCTTTGGGGCAGGTCAGGTTCAAGTTCCACCTGCTACATACATGTTTCATAATTATTTGTAAATAACAAGTTATGATATATATCTGGTGCAGATGGGACTTGAACCCAGATTCATAGTGGTTCTGGTTCAGAGGCAGGGACACTACCACTGTGCTACAAGAACCCCAAACATGTGCTATAATGTGTCTGAATCAACTAATTTAATTTATCATTATATATGGCATTGTCAATTTTTATCCATTCACTTAACCTTTCTATGTTCCTTTGCAGACTCTGTATCCTCCCCACAACTTACTTTCCTACCTATCTTTATATTCTCAACAAATGTTGCTACTCATGAGCTTCCAATTTCCTTCAATATTCAAGGCAAGCCCATTATTTACACAAATATCACACTTTACATGAATAATTAAGACAAAACCAGGTTGATAAGCCCATCCAAATCTTCACACACGGAATGATCAGGATGCCAAACTTCTCAATTCGGCATATAAATCCTCAAAAAAGTAGTCAGGATCAATGCATTCAAATTAGATCACTTCATTCCAGAGAATATCCTGAGATACAGTATATCAGTAATTTGAGACATGATATGGAGTGAGTTTAGTGAGATTGGGAAGAACACTGAGTTTGGACCTTTGCTTCCCAGACTCTTCATCAATGGGATTTTGCTCACCTCATGTTTGGATCTGTTGGAGACTAATTGTTTTGATAAATCCACATCCCTATTACCATCGAATTGTGTGGCTACCAGGTTGATAGATGGAGTTTGGTCTTTTTTCATCCAGCATACCCAATGTTCAAAGTTGCATTCAAGCATTTGACAATTCTCTGAGGTAACGGAGAAGAGTCATGGTTTTGGCAGAAAACAATCAGCAGCATCTCTGAAATGTAGATTATGGGAAAACTATGCAGAGCTTAGGTCAAACAACCTCCCCAGTTCTGAAATTTGGGTCAGAATTGGAAATCAGTTAACCTGCAGATGTTCATCCAAATTAAATAAATCACTGTGACTACCCGACCATCGTAGAAAATAACTGGGAGCAGAATCTGAAAGGTACTCACGACAAATTCAGTGATGTTCATTTCAGTTTGGATTTTCCTGGCCACTTCAACAGGACATGGAGCACCAGCAACGACTGCTGTTGAGAGAACGGGAAAGTAGGTGAACAGCAATATGAGGCTAAAAGAGAGCCAACGAAACCAGGAAAAATCATTCCTCATTCATTATCACCCTCTGTGAAACTCATCTTATTATAGCAAGGCTCTGTCTCAGGTTTGAAGAGACACTTTTCCCTGAATCAAATTTGGAAGTTCAGAAACATATCAAGAAAATTCACCTTTTTGTTCTGCTAATCAGTTGCAACACGATTTCATTAGCCATAAATATTCAAACATGATAAAGATTGTGGTGAATTCCATGGTTTGCAAGGCCAATAGTAGAAGCATGTACTTGCTGTTGGCTGAACAAATGACTTTGTCAAATGATTTTCACAGGGTCAGATCCAAACAGAAAGAAAAGCTGAAGATTCGGGTCTCTAGGGCAGGAGTTTCCAACTTGTGGGTCGCTACCCTCAGTGGAGTCATGGTATGAAATGTCGAGATTGCTTTGTGGCTTACCCCTTTAGAATTGAAGCCTTTATTTCATATTATCTCCCCTCATTCTCAAAATATATTGCTTCATACTGCTCCATAATAAATTCCCAGCAGTGCCTGTCAATCCACTAGCCTGACTATCATTATTCTCCTCATAGATCACAATACAGCTTTCTCATACTATCACTCAATACCCTCTAACATCCTGTGTTACAACTCTTAACTCTATTGATGTTAATCCAGCTTCCTCACACTGTTTCTCAATAATCGCTCTCCCCACATTGCCCTGTATTTTTGACTGTATCTTCACGAATATTTTCTAGTTCTCTCAAAATGTTATTCAGCAACTCATTTCTTTAAATGAGAAAATGTAAATTAGTTGAAGTAAGCAGAGAGAAAACAGTTGATGTGTATCAGAGTTTATCTGAAATGGGGAGTGCCTGGTAATGGGCTTGTCAAACACACATAGCACAATCAGAATCAGCTCCTGATAGTGTAAAACATTGGACACATACTTGAAGCAGAGTGTGTGCAATGGTGAAACTTCCTTGAGATTCTGTCAGCATCCTCAGACCAGTTAGACAACAGTGATCTTCAGAGTTATCAATGAAAACATGCTCCACTTTCCTCAACAACCCCTACCATTTTGAATTAATCTAGGACTCACTACAACTGGGTGTCAGTGGTTAACCGAAGAAACTTCTCCTGCTGTATTCAACAGTACTTTGGCCGTATCAGAAAGCTTTCCCTTTTACTCTGTCTAATATATTTTCCAATTCCCTCAATTGTCACTTGGTTGCCTTGGGGGATATTGTAATCTGCTGCTTGAAGGAACTGGTTGAGATTGCACAACTCATTTCACATTTAATTCCCATAGCCAACATACAGAGTCTACCCTTATGTCAGACTGAACTGAATCAAAAAATGCCAGAGGTGGGTTGTACTTCACAGCTCTTCACCCTCATTCGAAGGTTTGAGTCAAAAATCTTAAAGCAGACTACCCAAGGAGTTAATGGTAGGACCCTGGGAGTGTTGTCAAACATACAGACCTAGGGTTCACGCACATAGGTCCTTGAAAGTGGTATCACAGGTAGACAGGGTGTGAAGAAGGTGTTTGGCATGCTTGCCTTCATTAGTTAGAGTATTGAGTAAAAGAGTTGGGACATCCTGCTGCGGTTGTACAGGACATTGGTGAGGCCACTTTTGCAGTATTATGTACAGTTCTGGTCACCCTGCTATAGGAAGAATATTTCTAAATTCAAAAGGGTGCAAAAAAAGATTTACAAGAATGTTACCAGTACTAAGGAGTTTGAGTTATAAGGAGAGGTTGGGATGTTTTTCCCTGGAGCATAGGAGGTTGAAGGGTGACCTTATAGAGGTTTATAAAAGCATGAGGGGCATTAAGTGAATAGCAAAGGTCTTTTCCTTAGGGTAGGGGAATTTAAAAGTAGAGGACACGGGTTCAAGGTGACAGGGGAACGATTTAAAAGGGACTTGAGCGGCAACATTTTCAGACAAAGGGTGGTGTGTATATGGAATGAACTGCCAGAGGAAGTGGTAGATGCAGGTACAATTACAACATTTAAAAGACATGTGGACAGATACATGAATAGGAAAGGTTTAGAGGGATATGGGCCAAACACAGGCAAATGGAAGTTGTTTAGTTTGGGAAACCAGTTTGGCATGGACAAGTTGAAGCAAAGGGTCTATTTTCATGCTGTATGTCTTTATGACTCTATGATTCTATGACCATCCAATGACGACCCATACATGTGCCATTGTGCTCCTGAAAAGAGAAAGACTCAAATATTTTCTTTTCAAATGCAGTGGGTAATGTCTTACCTGCTTCAAGTGTTGACAAGTCAAAAGTAGAGAAGTCCTTCTGGCCCAGCATGTCAAGGTACATTGTTGGTGTCCCATAAATAACTGTACACCTAAGAAACACAACAGAGCACACAGAACATCAAAACATTTACAATTCAACTTCTATTCATTTCTACTTTTCTTCAGCTGAATCTTGCAGAATGTCAATGTCTCTTTCTTTTCCCTTTTGGGTCTCTATAATTTTACAATGTAATTCTGTTCAGTGTCCTTCTGAACCCAATTTATTTACCTCATAAGCTTCAAATTATCCATCCTACCCTGTGGCCCTCACTCATTCTTACCCAGTGGAATCTCCTCTCCTCAGTCTCTGGGTCTTGTCAGGGCTCAAGGAAAACTATTGCTTGGGCAGGTGATTGTTACCTAAATGATGGCCCTACATTTGGCAGATGTGGCCATTCAGCTGATTGAAGGTATAAACTAAGGATCTCACCCCTTCAAGATCCACACCGAACATATTAATCCTGTGACTCAATTGAGCAATGAAAGGTTGAGTTTGAGAAAGAGGTAGCCAGCCACAACAGGAGTCTATTGAAGTGTTTATCCAATGCCACCCTTATGAGCAGTAAACCCAACTGCACCCCACCACACTTCCCATTCAGCTAGGGGTTAATTGAACTTCTTCTTTCCTGAAGAGCTCCCTCCACCAAACGCTGCCCCATTTAACAATGTCTGACAATCACCACTTCACCCTGCACACCCTTCAGAGTGTTTGCCAAGGACAAGGCCTTTAACAGCCTTACACTTGCAAATGACTTCAATGATAACATATCACAAAAACTCAGCTCAAGGGTGATAACAATTCCCCTCTGCCCACTTAATGAAACATCCCCCACAGCCTATAACTTGAACCCCTGGCCCATCCAAAGCCATTCAACGGCAGTGTGAGTCTTAGCATAATGATCAATCTCAAAGCAGGGAGATACAGAAATTCCCTCTTTCAGACTGTTGTGAATCTTTATAATTCTATACTCAAGAAAACCGTGGAAATTCAGTCACCAAGTATATTCAAAATTGAAATTTAAAAAATCATTCAGACCTAAAGATATCAAGAAATATGGTGACAGGATTAGAAAGTGGTGCTGATAAAACTCAACCATGAGGTTATTTAGTGGTAGAACTGGCAGGCGGAGCCAAATGTCCAACTCCTCCTCATTCATAAATTGTAATGAGGTCACCACATTGTTCTGCACCTTTTGCCAAGGATGCTTATTTTCAACTGTCCACTCAAGTACCATGCCATGGTTCTCACTAAGATAGTTTCACTCCTTTTGTTCTTAATTTGTTTCAACACCAAATGTTTTCACATCCATAGTGATTCCAACCTTCATCACAATTCCTCATGTTCTCTCTCCTGAGCTCCCTGTCCTTCTCTTCTTCCCCTTCTCTTAAACTCCCATTTTGTCATCTACCAGGTCTCCCTGCTGTCTTGGTCTCATTTACACAAGGACATCTCCAATTAGCTCATCATATCTTTCACCACCCACATATTGATCAAACTGAACTGAACTGCTCGATCACATATTCAATTACACTTAGAATGTTCTTGTCCAGTAAAACTTAAACAATCCTTCACTCTTCTCTGCTTAAAAATATCATCCTCAAAAGCATCATTAACCCTTAAGTTCCTTTCACCATCACAGACCATCATCTTAAACCCCTCCTTCCATTACATTCAAAAACAGCGAGAAGCCGACAGCCTTGTCGCTAAATGGAGGGCATGTGTTCTGCTGTTTCTATTGTCTCCCCACTGTTCCTCATAGTGAGTGTGAAATGAAACCTAATCTTTATACTCATATAAAAGTGGTGCAGTCGTGGTGTCCCTAGATTTAGGACATGTGGTCCTGGTTCAAGTCTCACTGTCCTGTAGATTTGTCATAATGTATCTGAACAGGTTAATTTGAAAAATATGCATATATATGTTTTATTCACAGGTCACACATTGTATATCATACACCTCAATCCAACAACCGCTCATCCTCCTCATGTACTTAATGCTGACCATTGGGATTTGGTTAACCCCCAACTGATAAACAATGAACCCTGCCTACTGAGCCAAATTCTACCAAACCAGCCTTAATCTAGCCCTGTACTTGTACCTTTCTCTGTTTAATCTCCAAATTCCCTGATGTGCTCTCCAACCTCATCTAGTCCATAAGACCCACCTTAAATCCTCTGAAAATATATTCCCATTAAATTACTGACCACTTTACCTACCCTGCTGGTCCTTATGTTCTTTGATATTGTCCTATTCCCTCCCTCCCATCCAGTCCTTAAAAACAATCACTATTGACCCTTCTGCCCTTGACAACTACATCTCCATCTCCAACCTCCCTTTTCTGATAAGATCTTTGATTTGTCACATCCCAATTTTTTTTATTTGCTTGTGTCATTTCTAACTATTCTGTAATATTGGACAGCCCCTAACTTATGTACTCTGTGACTAAAGTTTTTTAAAAGTTTTCCATCTATTTGTGTTACGTTGCTGTCATGTGTTAGTGCTATGGAATGGAACACTTGCTACTTCAGGAATCAACGCCAGAATCAAACAATCCTAGTGCAGGCACAGCATGGGGATAGATACAGAGTAATGCATCCTCTACACTGCCCGCATCAAACACTCCTAGTGCAAATATACCCAAGTTAAATATAGAGTAAAGCTTCCTCTACACTTTCCCATAGATCATTCCCAGGGTAGGTACAGCAGGGAGTTGGAGAAAGTAAGGACTGCAGATGCTTCTTCCTCTCCTGTAGGCCCAACCAGTCGCCTTCTGCTGACACTCATTTGCTTGGCAGAACTGGTCCTCACCCTCAATAATTTTTCCTTTGATTCCTCTCACTTCCTACAAACCAAAGGGGCAGCCTTGGCACCTGCATGGGCCCAAGCTATGCCTGCCTCTTTGTAGGATTTGTGGAACAGTCCCTCCTCCACAACTGCACTGGCACCATCGCTCACTCTTTCTCTGCTATATTAATGACTGCATTGGTCCTGCTTCATGCTCCTGCCAACACCTTCCAGCCCACCCTCAAATTCACTTTTCCAACACCTCCTTCCCCTTCCTGGACCTCTCTGTCTCCATCTCCAGAAACCGACTCACCACTGACATCCATTCCAAACCTATTGACTCCCACAACTACACCTCCTCTCACCCACCCTCCTGCAAAAATGCTATCCCAATTCCTCTCAATTCCTTCCGTTCCCAGGATGAGGTGTTCTAATCCAAGACATTCCAGATATCCTCCTACTTTAGGGTCTGTAGTTCCCCCTTCCCCCATAATTAAGGGTGCTCTCAACTGCATCTCTTCCATTGCCCACACTTCAGCCCTCAAACAGCCTCCCCTCACAACAATAAGGATAGAGTCCCTTTAGCCCTCATGTACCACCCCACCAACCTCTGAATCCAAAGCATCATCCTCCGACATTTCCACCACCTACAATCAGACCCCACCACCAAAAAGATAATAACTTCCCCACCCCTGTCCGCCTTCTGCAGGGCCCATTCATTCTGCGACGCCCTTGTCAGCTCTACACTCCCACCAACTTCTCCAGCACATCGGGTACTTTTCCCTGCAACTGCAAGTCATGCAAAACCTGCTTTTACACCTCCCCTCTCACCTCTGTCCAAGGCCTCAAACAATCATTCCAAATCAGGCACAGATTCGCCTGCACTTCATCCTATCTGATCTATTGTATCCATTGCTCCTGATGTGGTCTCCTTTATATCGGGGAGACTAAATGCAGAATCGGGGACTGGTTTGCAGAGCATCTACACTCTGCACACATCAACCAACCCGACCTTCAGGTTGCCATCCATTTTAATTCCCCCTTCCACTCCCCTGGCGACATGTCCATCTTTAGCCTCCTCCACTGTCAGAGTGAGACCAACGTAAACTGGAGAAACAACACCTGTTATTTCACCTTGGGAGCTTACAGCCCAACTTCAAATTCCCTTCACTCCCAGCCTTATCCCATGTCCAGCCCTCCCCCTCCTCCCTGAACTGACCAAACCTATCCATCTTCCTACTCACCTATCCACTCCACGCTTCCAGTAATCACAATAACCCTCCACCTGCATCCATCTATCAACGTCACACCTACCCTTCCCCCAGCCCCACCCGAATTCTTCCATTAACTTCTGGGCTCCCCTACCCCTACCCAGTCCTGACGAAGGGTTTCGGCCCGAACATTGGCTTTCCTACTCCTCGGATGCTGTCTGACCTGCTGTGCTATTCCAACTTCAGATCTATTGCCTCTAGGTACAGCAGGGGTTAGATGTTATACTAGAAATATGAGGTTTATAAAATTGCTTTATTTTGAAACTGTCTTTAGTTTAATATAGCATAAAATGAAGTGGATCACATGACCTGTTCTAAAATGAGCTTAACAACAGGCCTGGTTGATATGGCTGTTAAAGAGTAAATCAAGGCCCAACATGTTTTACTGGAAAAAAGCTGCAGCGTGTTTTCACTTGGACTCAAGGCACAGCTGTGTTACAGTGGTTACACTGCTAGTTTCCACAGGAAGGTGTTGAGAATGTCAGGTTATAAACAATTATGCTTTAAACCATCCATTTACTTCCAAAGTAGAGGCTGATTGGTTTTCAAGTATGGCTAATCAGCATTTCTACCTGGATAAAAAGCCCGCATGATTCACACAGAATTGGAGACAGACTTTGAGAGAGAAAGACTTTCTGATATCACTGAAACTCACAGACACAGGGAGGGAGTCTGTCAGGATCTGAAAGAGAGGGAGCAAATAGAGGCTAAAAGTCTCTAAAGTTCACTGCATAGGATTGCGGGTGGAAAGTAATGTTCAGATTTAAAATCCTCAAGAATTTGACCTTTTCAAAGAGGCTTGGAAGTTTGCTTACTTTGTGCTTGACTGGAATCACATCCACAAACATCTACTCTCTCCAGCAGCAGTGAGTACTATCTAGAAGATGCACTGCAGATATTCACTAAAGCTCCTAAGACAGCAACTTTCAAATCCAAACTACCATTTAGATAAACAAGGGTTGCAGATAGATGGGAACATCACTACCTGCAAGATCCCTCCAAGTCACTTACCATCCTGACTTGGAGATACATCGTCGTTCTTTCAGTGTTGCTGGGTCAAAATCTTGGAACTCTCTCCTTAAAGACATTACAGATCTACCTGTGGCACATAGACTACACCAGCTGAAGAAGACAACTCACCACACCCTTTCAAGGGCATCTAGGAAAGGGCAATAAAAACTGACCAGCCAGCAATGCCCACATTCTATGAGTGAATAAAAAAGACAGAGAATCATGAAGAAAAACTCCCACTACGAAAGACATTAATTGGGTTAGAAGGGGAAGAAAAGGAAGTAAACCTTTAAGAGTTAGGAACCACTTTGAATTGGATCTGGGAAATCTGAATGACAAATGAAAGGACAGTGTAAAGTATACCTGTGAAACAGGTTCTTTAATTGCAGTGAAAATAAAAAGGAAGAATTCTGTTCTGTTGTTTCAAGTTTAAGTTGCCAATAAAATGGTGTTTAGTCAACAATGTTTTTAATTTTAAATGTCTTTAGTCTGGTTATTAAAGTCAAAGCCTTCAAACAAGAAATTTTGTAATTCCTTAAGCTGTAAACTGGAAGCTTGAATTTCACCTTTTCAAGTTTTTTGATGACTGCAGGGTTCATACCAATATAGTAATGCCTACACTGTTATTATCAAACACTCCACATACATCACAGTAAAACTCCCTTGATATTGGCCCATCAGCAAATAGCATGAGTGAAGCATTTTGTTTTCACTTTTCCATGTCAACCTTGCGTTCATCTCTGTGAATGACATTATGGCTTAGTGGGAGATCCATCGTTCTATTATTGATAGCAGAGTACAACATCATCATTATCTCAACAACTAGGTCCCATCAAATTGCACTGTTTATTGAATCAGGTCCAATAATGCCTTGTTGCCCAGTTTCAGTAGCTCTTACTTTTCGGCAGGACAGTAACTGCAGTTGTACCTTTCACGCTGGATTGCCTCAAGTGCTGCCCGTCCATCAAAATGTGGAGAGCTAAATACCACCATGCAGCCATAAATGACCATGTTCATGGTCGCTCCTACACACCCAAAGCAGTGAAAGAGTGGTACTGGAGAACTGATCCGAGTATTCTAAAAGTAAGAGACAGAGGAAGAAAGAAGATCATTTATTAAGAGTTTTGCCAAAATTATCATCTTCTTTCTACTCTTGTGACTCTCTTTGAGGTAAAGGTACCATGTTAATTGAAAACCTATGGTATTTTATCCAAAATGACTGATCTTGCAGCTCACACAGAGCATGGCCTTCCACGTGAAGGCACATCACACTTGTAAACCTTCAAGGTGATACCGGGGAAAATGATGGTGTATTTTCCAACACATGGGTGTAAACCAATGACAGCCCCCAATTGAACTACCATGGGATCCCACTGATCCATGAAGAGCATAGAGCCGGATTTTCCAGGGAGTGGTAATCTCACGCAGATTGCCACTCCGGTCCTCTCTTTTTTATAAAAAAGGGAAGTTCCACATTTTTGAATGGAGATTCCAACCAGGTCTCACTCAGAAATGCAGAGACATACTTCCATTCTGACAATTCTCTCGTAGTACAGAACTGTGTGGGGAAGGCAAACCATGCCAATTCTTCATAGCAGTCAGCTGCTATGTTCTGAAATGTAAAGGCCCCGGCAGTCACTTTGATAGTTACTGTCAAATGTTTAGAACACAAGACAAGTGTGATATTAGAATGATTGTGATATTAGAATGATGGTGGTGTAGCTGGTCCCAGATGGATAGGAGATAGGGTGTCAGCTGGGTATCTGCCAGGGTGCCAGTTGGATATGGTGACAAAGTAGAAAGCCAGGTGGCTAGCATGCCAGGTCAGCTGGATGTTAGGGGGGAGTAAGGTGCCAACTGGATACGGTGTTAGCTGGGGAGAGCATTGGGTGCCAGGATAGAATGCTAGATGAGTAGGGAGTAGGATGCCACTTAGGAGGGGGGTAGGGCAGCAAGTGGATAAATGAAAATTGGCAAGAAGGCCAGGTTAGTGATGCAGTGTTTAGAGTCAGTCAGAGTGGGTGGGAGCAATTGGTTCTGGTGGGGTTTTGGGTCTGCCAGTGATTGGGAACGGGGTGTGGTGGTTGAGTCCAGAGGCAGGCACTGGGGAGATGGGCAGGGTCTGGTGTGGGGGATGGTCAGGTCAGGTCTGGTCCAGCAGTGATGTAGGTGAAAGGGGGCTGGGTGAATGTGGAGCAAGGGAAGGGCGCTGGGATGTGGAAGGGATGGGGGAATTAACTGTCAGCTCAGGGTCTGGGGAAGGTGTGTACTTAATGTGTTGGATGTGTATTTAATAGTCTAACTTTTCCTGAGTAACTATTTTACTTAATTTCATTGAAGCCCTCCGATGTATCTGATTTATAGGGAGACTTCTGACAGTTCCAGCACAGAGGAACAGCCTAGTAAAAAATTCAATTTGCTGAGAAATTCCTCTGGAGTCTGCTCCAAAGGAATTCCACAGGGTCCCCAAATACAACATCCATTTCTGCAGAGAAAACCATTGCCTGTCTGGCCTTAGTTATCCTAATATGGAATGGGGTTTGACTTTTTAAAATTTTATAGTTGTCCTTTATCTATTTTACCTTTTGGAAGAGCTTTTGTTGTTATATTGACTATGTACACTACCAGGAACACAAAGAGAATATGAGAAAAAATATCACACCAGAGTCCATCAGCAACCTCAGAAGGGTAGATAACCTTGATTTTTAAAAGAACTGAAGTAACAAAGTTAAATTGAATACATCAAATTGGGTGAAAGTTCTGAGGAAGGGTCACCGGACCCGAAACGTTAACTCTGATCTTTTTCTTCACAGATGCTGCCAGACCTGCTGAGCTTTTCCAGCAACTTTGTTTTTGTTTCTGATTTACAGCATCCGCAGTTCTTTCAGTTTTTATGAAATTCAACATTCATTTCCAGTCTTGAACGTATGTGTGACAGAATTTATCTAAAGGGTGAGATTCATGGATGATGGAAGTGCTAACACATTGCCTAAAACACTGGTGGAGAATAATATATGATTGAAACCAGGCAAGATAAAGAATTACTTGATGCTAAGGCCAAGAGAGAAGGGTATCAAATTTGTTCAGCAACATTACTACAAACCTCTGGAGCAGATGGGATTTGAAACCAGGACTCTTAGCTCAGAGGTAGGGATGCTACTGCTGTACAATAAGAGCCCTGAGCGGATATCATTGTAGAGTAAAGGATGTGATAAACGGGTCAATCACATCCAACACATCAGTCAATGGCATAATTTAGTAGATCAATCAATAACAAACTCAAGTTTCACAAGCATTTCACAAGCAAGTTAAACCTGTGGCAAATTTGAACAAAAACTGGAAATTGTCACTGCTGAATTAGGAGATTAACAATCCAGAGATTAATAGTTTAGAGAAGCTTCATGGCAGTTTGAGAATTTCAATTCCATGTTTGCAAAAAAATCTGGAAATTACGACAGCGGAATCATAAAAGTGAGCATGAAGCTGTCAAGTTGACCATAAAAAGAAACCCTGGATTTATATGTGATTCCAGTCTCATACTAATGGTGTTGACTCATAGCTGCCCCCTGAAATGGCCAAGCAAAACACTCAGTTAAGGTTTAGTACAGATGGGCAATAACTGGTGTGCTTTCCACAGAATGAATCAAAAATAATCCTACTCTAGCTCCTTAAAGCAAGGAAACAGCCCAGGTGATTGCCTTAATCTACTCTTCAACATGTTATCAACTTCCACACCCACCCACAACTTGGCATGACCTCCCATTTCAGAAACTTAAAAAGTTTGAGGTTTCATGAACTTAAAAGTAAAATTTGGAAGCAGGAAGTGTGATGTGGTTATGTTTAAAATCAGTTCACAAGTGTGATGCCAGAGAGGTAAATAAAAGACTTTGTAAATTCAATATCATCAATGAAGAAAATATAGTAAAATCAGGATCAATAAACTCACCCGCCAACTGTAGCCCATCCTGTATCCTATGAAACGGGCGTTGTTGACAATGTTATGATGGGATAGGGTAACTCCTTTGGGATTTCCTGTTGTGCCCTAGAGAAAACACATGTGCTTGGTAAAAAGAATATCAGAACATTTATTTATGCAGAGCTGTTACTACCATAAAATGACCTCTTGTCCTCTATGTTCTGGTACACACCTTTACTGCTGAACTTCTGATTAAATAGCATTGTGTTCCAGTGTTGCCAGTTTTTCAGTCAGTCATGGTTCATAACTATTCAGACTTATCATGAACAATACTGTGGTTGAGGGAATCTTTAGCTATGTGTAATGGGCCATGCCAATCTATGCCCTGGATCCAACCCCATTGCTCCTCATGTCCTCAGATCATCCATACCAAACTACAGCACTTCAATGCCAATTCACCCAGAACAGACTCTGTACAGAATTAATGAATCATACACTAACCATTTTGTGTATATAAAACAGCTTTTTAAAAAATCATTCATGCACAACTTTCTTTAAAACTGCTTTCACTAGAATCCTATAAAAGAGCCAATCAACCAGGCCTTTGTATAGCTCAATGTGCAAGCCCTTGACACCTGTTTATATTGTGTAAATAAATATTAATCAGTTAAGAAATAGATCAAGGAAATCCTGTCAATCAAGCAATGCTTTCCCTTTCAATGGACGTCTGGGATCTCAGCCAAGAATTCATATTTATGGTTGGGAACGAATTTATGGCTGAAATGAATAGACTTCCAAGCTTCTCCAAAATAAATATTATGTGTTCCTGTTGCATATGGAAGGGGCAGAGGAAGTAGTTTGGTGTCTGACTATAGGCTTGCCTTTATATCTGGAAGTAACACAGGCAGCAGTGGTATTTTTGTCTTCTGTGTGCTTTATCCAACTGAGTAGACAGCAACAGATAGAGTCAAACAGGCATTCAGTTTAAGCACTGAAAATGCTGACTCACAACAAGGATGGACACATGCTTAGATTAAAGACAGGGCTTGAGAGGATTTAATGGAAGTCGAAAGATTTGCTTAGCTTGAAGCTAGAGGATGAAGTCAAAAGTGCAACTTTCACTGTGAGTGATAATTCTTGGATTAAAAGTTACCCAGCTGGGAATTAAAAATGAAGCAGACTATTAGAAGCTGGAATCAACTGTTAACTGTTTATAATAAGAACTATAATTCCATGGAGAGTGTGATGTGTGATAAGTAGATAAGAACTGCTTATTTCTATAGTTTAAAGTATAAGTTGTTTACAAAAATGCCAATTGCATTTTTAGTCATTTGATGCAACAAAAATTTCAAAATGTAAATACTAATGTGACCTTTTCTTTATACATTCTTGTCTCCCCAGAGATCGTAACACCTTGTAACTTTTTCCCAGTAAATCAATCGAAGCACCATGACCCAGATGTGTTGACAAACTGACTTCACCGCTGGGTGCATGACGCCTTTCATTGTACCCTAAATTTAAAGATGAGGTCATGTAACACATTAATTTTATAAATCTCATAAGTTTAAGAATGAATAGTCATATCTATCTTGACTCTCTGTTGATCAAATCATATGAAATCAGCAGAGGCATCATCCAATGTGCAAGAGGCAGGCTAAACTAGTAAAATACACTTTGGTCAATTTTTTTTGCCCTAAACTGTAACCCAGAGCTAGAAGAGTTTGAACTAACCATCTGAAACCCTTGACTCCTGATGTTTACCAAACATTATTCTTTCGATCTCAAAGTTGATTGCTGACCTCCCTCAATGACAGCTTGCAAGAAAGATTTTTCATTTCAAACAATGCAAAAACAATCTTTTTTCTGAAATCACACAATACCAGGTTATAGTCCAACAGGTTTATTTGAAAATACAAGCTTCCACAGCCTCGGTCCTTCTTCAGGCGTTAGTGAGAGGTAATATCAGACACAGAATTTATAAGTAAAAAATCAAAGGTTCACACCACTGATGAGGATGTACTAAACAAACCTAAGATGCTGTTAAATCTTTAATCAGTTAGAAGGTTTTAATTGATTAATATTTATATGTAAATCCCCAAATTCCTTTCAAGTCACTGTCCTGAGAGAACTAACGATTTTATCAGTGTAAAGAAGAGGTGACATTTTAGGCCAGACAATGCTTGTTAGGTGTGAGACCTTGTTTAGAATCTGTTTGTGTTTTAACTTGGAGTCAGACTGGTTTTATTTCTAAAGTAGGAATTCATACAACGCCATATTGACTGACTGTCTATAAATTGTGAGCTTTTTGAACAAAATAAAATATATCTGCAATTACAAATTCACCCTAAAAATTCACCTGTGTGTCGGTGGGGGGTGGAGAGTGCGTGTGTGAGGGGGGAGAGAGAGAGAGTGTGTGTGTGTGTGTGTGTGTGTGTTGTTGGGGGAGAGTGTGTGCTTATCTTTTTCTAAATCCCCCTTAATTATTTGCAATTACAAAAGTATGCAACCTTCTCAGCATCTCAAAGGTCAGTGAGATTCAATCATAGTGAGTAATCTTTCATTGATTACCTTGGCAGAATACTTTAGAATGTTGAAGGCCTCTCTTGGGTCAACCCTGAACATTCTTAAGTGCATAAAGCCTCAACATCCCCACTCTGTCTCCATAATGGAAGCATCACGTCCAGTAACTACTCTGTGAATCTGCTCGCCTCTTTTCCAGTGTTTTTATTTTTCCTACAATTTCTGACCCACAATTCACTGCACGTTCTTTTTATTTAGTGATGTGATGTGAGCATTGATGGCTAGGCCAGCACTTGTTGCCCATCCCTACTTATCCATTTATTGCTGCACCCCATCTGATGAGGGTACACTCACAGTGCTACTAAGGTGAGAGCTGCAGGATTTTGATCCAGTGACAGTGAAACAATGACAGTATAATTGCAAGGCAGGATGGTGTGTGGCTTGGAGAGAAACATGTAGGTGGCAATGTTCCCATCTGTCTGCTGCCCTTGTAATAGAGGTCTCAGATTGAAAGGTGCTGTCAAAGAAGGTTTGGGAATGAGAAAGTACAGGAAATATGTAGTGTAGTGTTTATGTAACAGGGCCAGAAATCTAGACACCTGGAACTCTGCAAGGAAGAGGTTAAGCCTTACCATTGCAGTTTGGGAATTCTAAATTAGTTTCCTTGAGTTTTAATTTAGTCAGTAAAAGTGTCTATGAAACAATTAGATGTTTGTAAAAAATCGAACTATTTCCAATTAGGGAAGGAAACCTTCTATCCCTATCCAATCTGGTCAACCTGTAACTCAAGTTGTTGACCATTCACTGACCAGTGATATGGCCAAACAATCCATTCAAAATCGGTAAAAACATCAAATTTGAGGAGTTACAGAAGGCAATTCACCACCAACTTCTAAGGCAAAGATAAAATAGCCATGAGTCCTACTAGGCCAGCCACTCTCTTGCCAGAGGGACACATACAACTGGTGGCAGCTTAACTTGAGGGTCACTACACCTCATGTGAGGGAAGAAGTTGTGAAGGAGAGTCCTTCATGATAACCTCAGCTAGTGCAGGACTTGAACCCACACTGTGGACAATACTCTGCGTTACAAACCAGTTGCTCAGCCCACTGAGGTAAGCAACTCCAGTCAGGAAAGGCAGACTTAATCATTTGTCTTGTCCGTATGCCCATATTAAGAAAATAAGTTTTAACAAATTGTGGCCTAACTAAGCTTTACTACAAGATAAAATTACTTTCTTGCTTTTATATTCTATGCCTCAATTGCTTCTTCATGTCACAGAGTTCCCTTTGTTTCTTTATTTCGTTCAAAATGTTACCATTTACACTGCATTTCTCTCCTGTTCTTAACATCATAAAATTCTCGCTACAAACAGTATCAGAACACTGATAATTTTCCAGAGTTAATTGAACGGATGAAAGTACAGTTGCTTTACCGAGGTGAACTGGATGTTTATTGGGTCATCAAACATGATTTTCTTTTGAAGTCTCAGTAGTTGCTCTCGATGGCTGCTTGAAGCTGCATTAAACACCTCATCATAGTTGTATGTTCCAGGAGGCTTTCCACCAATCATGATGATCGTCCTCAGATCTGGAAGTCTAAACAAATGCAATTCAGAAACAAATCAGTGGTGCTTCACTTACACAGTTTCTGAGATCTCCAACATTGGTTAAAAGTTTCAACAGAATTACGACAGGAAATTAGAGATGCATTCAGTAAGAGTACAGAAGTTATTATGGGTAATTCAATCTACGTATTGATTGGATTAACTAAACTGGTAGCAATGCGATGGAAGAGGATTTCCTGGAATGTATGAGGGATGGTTTCCTTGACCAATATGTTGAGGAACCAACTACAGAGCAAGCCATCCTAGATTGGGTATTGTGTAACGAGAAAGGATTAATTAGCAACATTGTGGTGCAAGATCCTTTGGGGAAGAGTGACCATAATATGGCAGAATTCTTCATTAAAATGGAGAGTGAAACAATTAAGTCTGAAACTAAGGTCCTGAACTTAAAGAAAGCTAACTTTGATAGTATGAGGCATGCATTGGCTGGGATAAACTGGCCAAGGATACTTAAGGGGTTGGCAGTCAATAGCCAAAGGCAGACATTCAAAGAACTTACGGATGAACTTCAACAATTGTTTTTCCCTGTCTGGCAGGGAAGGTGGCTCAATCATGGCTAACAAGGGAAATCAGTAACACTATTAAAGCCAAAGAGAAGACATATAGATAGGCCAGAAAAAGCAGCAAACCTGAGGACTGGGAAAAATTTAAAATTCAGCAGAGGAGGACAAAAATTTAATTCGGAAAGGGAAAATAGAATACAAAAGTAAGCTTGCGGAAAATATAAAAACTAGCTGCAAAAGCTTCTGTAGATATGTGCAGAGAAAAAGAGTGGTGAAGACAAATGTAGGTCCCTTGCAGTTAGAATCAGGTGAATTCATAATGGACAACAAAGAGAAAGCAGACCAGGGAACAAATACTTTGGATTTGTCTTCACTAAGGAGGACACAAATAATCTTCAGGAAATGCAAGGGACAGAGGGTCAAGCATGAAGGAGGAACTGAAGGAAATCCTTATTTTTCAGGAAATGGTATGGGGAAATTGCTGGGATTAAAATCCAATAAGTCCCCAGGGCCTGATGCTCTGCATTCCAGAGTACTTAAGGAACTGGCCCTAGAAACAACGGATGTGTTAGTGATCATTTTCCAGCATTCTGTAGACTCTGGAAGAGTTCCAATGGTCCAGAGTGTAGTTAATGTAACCCCACTCTTTAAAACAGGAGGGAGAGAGAAAATGGGGAATTATAAGCTGGTTAGCTTGACATCAGTGATGGGGAAAATGCCGCAGTCAATCATTAAGGATGTAATGGCTGAGCATTTGGAAAGCAGTGACAGAATCGGTTCTAGTTAACATGGATTCGCTAAAAGGAAATCATGCTTGACAAACCATCTGGAATTTTTTCAGGATGTGACCAGTAGAGTAGACAATTGTGAATCAGTGGATGTTGTGTATCTGGACTGTCCAAAGGCTTTTGACAAGGTCCCACATGAGAGATTAGGAAGGAAAATTAAAGCTCATGGTATCAGAGGTAATGTAATGACATGCATAGAGAACTGGTTGGCAGACAGGAAGCACAGAGTTGGAATGAATGGGTCCTTTTCAGAGTGGCACGCAATGACAAGTGGAGTGCCGCAGGGTTCAGTGCTGGGACCTCAACTGTTCACAATATACCTTACCAATTTGGATGAAGGAATTGAATGCCATATCTCTAAGTGTGCAGATGATGCTGAGCTGGGTGGCAGTGTGTGCTGTGAGGAGGATGCTAAGAGGCTGCAGTACGACTTGAATAGACTGGCTGAGTGGGCAAATACTTGGCAAATGCAATATAATGTGGATAAATGTGAGGTTATCCACTTTGGTGGCAAAAACAGGAAGGCAGATTATTATCTGAGTGGTGGCAGTTTAGGAACAGGTGAGATGCTATGAGACCTGGGTGCCATGGTGGAACAGTTGCTGAAGGTAGGGGTGCAGGTGCAGCAGGCGATGAGGAAAGCTAATGACATGCTGGCCTTCATAGCAAGAGGATTTGAGTATCGGAGTAAGGATGCCTTGCTGCAAATATACAGGGCCTTGGTGAGGCCAAACCTTGAGTATTGTGTGCAGTTTTGGTTTCCTAGTCTGAGAAAGGACATTCATGCTATTGAGGGAGTCCAGCGAAGGTTCACCATACTGATTCCCAGGATGGCAGGACTGACATATGAGGAAAGGCTGGATCGACTGGGCTTATATTCACTGGAATTTAGAAGAATGAGGGGAATCCCATAGGAACATATAAAATCCTGATGGGCCTGGACAGGCTAGATGCAGGAAGAATGTTCCCAATGTTGTGGAAGTCCAGAACAAGGGTTCACAGTCTAAGAATAAGGGGTAAGCCATACGGGACTGAGATGAGGAAGAATTTCCTCACTGAGAGAGTTGTGAACCTGTGGAATTCTCTCCCACAGGAAGCTGTTGGGGCCAGTTCATTAGATATATTCAAGATGGAGCTGGACGTGGCCCTTGCGGCTAAAGGGGTCAAAGGATATGGGGAGAGAGCGGGAATGGAATACTGAGATTGGATGATCAGCCATTATCATACTAAATATGATATTTAAATGGTGGAGCAGACTCAAAGGGCCGATTGGCCTACTCCTGCACTTATTTTCTATGTTTCTAAATTTCCCGTAGGAGTAGCTGAAGTGCACGCTCTGAGATTGTGGAGATAGACACTGCCTGTTCAAACTCCTTATGTAAAGATGATGAAAGTTTGAGCTAACTGTAACCAATCAACTATGTTCATACAGACAATCTAATCCCAGTGAACATGGACTAACAGAACTGATTCGCTTCAGATTCCACACCACATTAGTTGTTGTGATAAGGAATTATTCTGAGTTTCAAGTAGAACTTACATGGAGCTTTACTCTATCTAAACTGTGCCCTGACCTGGTTTGATAGGAGAATGTAGAGCGACCCATAATCTACAACTGTCCCAGCAGTATCTGATGGACCAACACGGAGAGAGTTTTAATCAGTATCTATCCTGTGCTACAACTGCCTCAGGAGTGTTTGATTCTGACATTGGGTGTCTGAAGTGTAAACCAGGACATAGTAGGACCTCGCTTAAAGTTATGGTTGTCTTCCTAAAAATCACAGTTTTAAGTTAACAAAGCGTGGAGCTGGAGAAACACAGCAGGCCAGGCAGCATCAGAGGAGCAGGAAAGCTGACATTTCGGGTTGGGACCCTTCTTCAGAAAA